CCCGTCTTTTTAGCTCACGACTGCATGCAGCTGTCCCCATGTCCTCCCCTTCTTTTTAGCTCACGACTGCATGCAGCTGTCCCCATGTCCTCCCCGTCTTATAGCTCACGACTGCATGCAGCTGTCCCCATGTCCTCCCCTTCTTTTTAGCTCACGACTGCATGCAGCTGTCCCCATGTCCTCCCCTTCTTTTTAGCTCACGACTGCATGCAGCTGTCCCCATGTCCTGCCCGTCTTTTTAGCTCACGACTGCATGCAGCTGTCCCCATGTCCTCCCCTTCTTTTTAGCTCACGACTGCATGCAGCTGTCCCCATGTCCTGCCCGTCTTTTTAGCTCACGACTGCATGCAGCTGTCCCCATGTCCTCCCCTTCTTTTTAGCTCACGACTGCATGCAGCTGTCCCCATGTCCTGCCCGTCTTTTTAGCTCACGACTGCATGCAGCTGTCCCCATGTCCTCCCCTTCTTTTTAGCTCACGACTGCACACAGCTGTCCCCATGTCCAGCTCATCTTTTTAGCTTTACTCTCTTGCTCTTTTCCATGTTTTTGTTTCTTTTTATATTTCTGTGCTCTTGTGGGTTCCAGTGGTAAGAAATTTTAGTTATATTTTTCTATGGTTAGAAGAAACACCAGATCATGATGGGGCAGTATGCATTGGAGCAGGTTAACTAGTTCAAATACCTTGGAGTTGTATTAGACCGAAATGGAGGCATTAAGACTGAGCTGGCTACACGAAAAGCAGCTGCTGGGAGACTCTTCCAGGCCATAAACCGAGGGTTTCTTAGCAAAAGAGAAATTGGCAAGAGGACGAAAATGGCTGTTTACCGCTCAACCTATGTACCAGTGTCACATATCACTCCTGTCACGTGCCTGATTTAAGGATTTCTCCTTAAGAACCAACAGCACTCAGAAATAATTATGTTGAGTCGTTTGGCTCGTATTGGTCTGAGGGATGCCCCATGGCCAATATACGCTCAACTTATTTCTGGAGTAGGGCAACTCAAGTTTTGGCACTACAAAATATATCTGTATATGAATACAATATTTCTAGGCACACTTGGCTGGACGCCCCCACTACTATAAAAAGAAAGCCCCCAGGTTATGATAGTTTACTATCATAACCATGTTAACACATATAATATTTGTGATTCATACACACAATAATGCTAAACACTTAGGACAGTGAAATGGAGACACCTAAGTCATCCATGAAAATGAATGCATGTAATCAATACAACAAATACATAAAATAGTGAAGTGGACACCAGATTTCAGTGGATGGATCCCAGAATACAGTGACTCGACTCAGCGATTATTGAAACAGCCAGAAAGTCCTGGAGGTAACACATTGTCATCATGGGAATCCATTTGAGCTGTGGTGAATAAAGCATGATATAGAAACAAAACTGGCACTTATTATAGTTCTATGGTTGATGTTCCCCTCAGCTCCTGGTGATTTGTCTGTATTTGACTCTGGTAGTTCTGCCTCCAGTGGATTTAGTCATAGAGGAGTACCTCACCATAGAGGACACCGACTGTATAAAACTCAGCAAGTCTCTCCCACAAGTCAGGTTACAACTCTGTCTCTGAGCTCCACCAAGCCCCTGAAGACTGGTACACTCGATTATGGATAATCTCTGCAAATGTTCACCTGCTCTGGAGCTAACTCACACTCTCTGGCCATGTTAAAATGATGGTTGTATATGGCACAACCTGATGATGCCAGGTACATTCACTGGTGTTAGCTGGTGGATAGTTGGTTGGTGGATGTTGGTAAGACTGTGATTAATCTGCCAGCTCTTTACAGAGGTTTCATCCCAAGCATAGGAAAAGTCCTAGACACTACAGGCCGCCTTCTTAAAGTGAAATTTACTGAGGCGTCGATGAATACATCTGGGTTCTAGGAATGCCGGCAGAAGAATGCCCGCACAAAATCAAGCTTCGCGTCGGTAAGATGAAGTTCCTTGTATACATGAGCAAGGAGTAAACCGGTTTCCATGAATATTCAAATAACCCCCGCATTAATTATCCCACAGTTGCAAATTTGAAAATGACTATAAGTCAAAGCAACTAGAAGGTGTAGACATTATAATTTTATCCGAAAAAGGTATATATTGATATAAGGGACTATATACCTTTCCGGACGAGTCCAAGTTTGAAAGTTTTGTCGAGCACGGGTAATACAGGTCCCGACTCTTTTAATATTATGTGTAGTGGCGTGTCATTCCTTGACAACCAGTCCTGACCTATGGGTGTGAGTCATGGGCAATGACAACAGCTCACAGAAGCCAGCTGCAGGCCTCGGAAATGAGATATCTGAGAAAGGTGGTCCAAGTGACAAGAAGGGACAAAGTCCGCAATCAGACAATACGTCAAGATTTTGATACCCAGTCCTTACAAACCCGAGTGGATCAGTTACAGTTACGATGGTTTGGACATGTATGCAGAATGGGAGAAAATCGGCCACAATGGCAGGCATGGGAGGCTAAGAACCAGGGAACCAGACCTTCAGGACGACCCAGGGTGCGCTGGAAAGACAACATCCGACAATCCCTAACTGACAGATGACTGGAATAGAAAAAAGCCAGAAAGAAAACTGCTAATAGAGACGTCTGGCGATCTCTCTGGCAAACCTCTACACCCCAAGGTAGAAGAGGAGCGACTAAGTAAGTAAGTAAGTTTTCTATGGTTATCTTAACGTGTGTTGTATCCAACGCCAGCGTCTTTTCTTTACCTCTTGGTCCACTGGAACTTGTTTAATTATATCCCAAAGCTCTACATAAGTGATTTTATGATTATATTTAATGCCCTGTATTGTGCTAAGGCACCAGTGAATGAATGTTTGTATTTTTTTTTTTTTTTTTAGTAATTGCCTCAGTTATTCATAATCTCCGCTCCATAAACAGTACTGATTTGAATTGAAAATTGTAACTTTCCTGATATCCACCGGTTGTAAACTCAGGTGAAAAGTTCTGGTTGTTAGTCCACTTCTGGAACTTGGTCGTGTTTAAGAACTTAAGTGTCACCTGCACGTCCAGTTTTACAGCTGTCAAATAGCGTGTGATTGTTAAGGGGCGTAACCGAGATAATCTTCTCAATTAAAGTTAATAATGTTATCGTTACTGTTTGTTTCCACTCTCCTCGTGCTTGAATCCACTTTCATGTTTTATAATTTAATCAAGTAACAGAAAGTATTGTGAACGGCACTCATAGAAAGAAGTAGAAAGATAGAAGAACACACTAGACAACATAAAAATCGAAAGCTATAGTTACCGTGCCGGGAATTGAACCTGTCACCTCCAGACGGCGTCTGCGCCTCGCCATGAATACAAGTGCACTAAGATACATGGTCAACTAGGCACCCCCAACAGTCGCCCCGGCTTCGCGACGACTGGGTGACGAACTCCTTGTGGTCCGGGTTCACGCCCGGGGGTATGCAGAAAAGCCATATTTCTCCCAGATTTACATTTTCTATCATGGAATCAAGGCCGTAGGGCTGCGATATCCATAGCACCGAGCCAAAGGGTGAACAACTCATGGTTGCTGGAAATTAAATATTTATAAAGTAAGTAAAGTAAAGATCCCTTTCCACGCCTTTAGGCGTATCGGGAATATGGGAAGAGCACCCATATTTTTACAGACCATCAGCACTCGGTGGGTAATGTGGTTCTCATTACGCCGGCTGTCTTTACTTTCCCAGTACAGCCCATCCTGGCACCCATTTTAGGCTGGGTCGACCTGCGACGCCCCATACCATGATAAAAATCCACGCAATATATATATAAAACTTAAGTCCTGGAACAATATTAAAAGTCCAAAAGAGGATGAACAGCCAGAACTTTCCACTTGAGTTAGGAGCTTATGATCGTTAAGAAGTAGGGGGAAAGTTGAGTTAAGTCAAGAATTGACATCATAGCATTCCCATGCGTGCTCCGTCCCTATCTTCAGCAGCCAGCGCAGTGTTCCAATACTGATAGTACCAGTCCCAATCTGGTTATATGTCCGTCTTGCCTTTTCTCTGAGTGTAGTGAGCCAGCTAGATCCTCTGGTTACACCTTGGCTCCCGGGTCGACCCAGCCTGGAGTTTGTACCGGGTGTAGTCCCGGGAAGTAAAGGCGGCCGACGTGATGCTGACGACATCACTCATTTTGTGCCGATTAGTCTATAAAAAATAGGTCTAGCCCTATAAGCCTAAAGTGGAAAAGTTTTTTTTTTGTTTGACTGTTTACTAATTAGAAAAAGAGTTATTTAAATGTATTTGAAAACAAATACTTGATTAAAAGTATGAACATAAAAATGAATTCAAAAGGAGTGGGGGAAAAAGAGAGAAATGTCTGGACAGCCCTAAGTAACAATAATTACAAGGCAGATAAGATTGTGCTATACTGAACAGATTTAGAGATGAGTTGAACAATCACCAAACATGCACCCGAATAAGAAATACAGAGACAGGAAACGAGGACGCCAAAGAGGAAACCCTAGCAAACACTGGTGAGGGAGGCTAAAGGCGCGTAACTGGATTCGATCCATGATATCGAATAATTGAACAGGCTTGAACGAAATTGATAAATAGCCTGCAAGCCCTGTGTGACACTAATGGCACAAAGGGAAAATGAATGAGTAAACAAATGATAATTTTTGAAAACTAAACTAATTGTTCTCTATAAAATCAGTGGCCAGCATAATACTTTTTAATTCTTATAGCAGTAGACTAATCAAATCCGTCGTTTGTCCAAACACTTCTCACCGACCCAAGTTTGAAAAAGCCTGTCTGATTGGATACAGCTGCCACGTGACCCTATAATGTCGGCTGTCTCTGCAGTTTATGAAGGATGAGCTTTTCGAGACCAAGATGAAGCATCTAGCTACACGAAACTGTCAAATCTTGCATGGATAATATTCACATATTGTAAGAAAATCAACCTATTTCTGCTCAGGCGAGGACGAGTCAGCTCTGCAGTGGGTAACAAGCAGTCTCCAAATAGGAAGCAGCGAACAAAATGGCGTCAGAGAGTGGGACTGGAACCTCCTACAGTCAGGTAGGTCTGGGACGACACTAGTTGTCTTTCTCTTCAACCTTTACCGGCACTTTGTCCTGAAATAGATGATTGAATTTATATCTAGTTCTTGTATATGTGTAATCTGTTATGTATTTTAACACTTCAAGGCTCATGTGATGAAAATAAATATCTTCGCGAAGTTTATAAATTACTTCCTAACTAATCACAAAGTACAGCCTAGTCCAGGAAGTTTTTGTCATTTCATTTGTCTAGTCGAGAAGAGAGGAACAAGAATAATATTGATTCGCTTTGTTTTTTGTTTTTTTAATCTTTTTAGCACCCAACAGCTAACTTGAAGTGAAAGAGTCACTTCCAGTCAGGAATATGATATTCTTGCAGAAAGAAAACATCTGAGAATAGAATGAATCATTCCCGAAACAGAAACAACAGACTGCGTGTTGACAACCAACTGTATAGAGAATGCAATTTAGAAAAAAAAAATATTGACTTTTAAATCACGTTATATAATCACCAGCTGGTAGATTTATTTTTACTTATTTTTTTTTATTTTAGTAATACAGAACATTTGCAGTATATAGTTCTTTTAATTTGAAGTCATTTATGAAACAGTATAAGTATATTATTTAGATATGAATAATGATGATATAAATAATATATAACTTATCAAATTTAACATGATATTTAAACATGGACGAGAATCCTAGATAAAACAAGTTAGAATAAGAAAATCTCTTGAAAACACTAATTAATGCACACAGAAATATAATATTTGTTATAAAAGATTATTACCTTGGCTGACCAGACCAACACATAAGTAACCTAAATCAAATTTTGAAAGTACACCTAAATTAGTAGGTAGGAAACCATTGTAGAGATCATTGTGACAGCTTGTTTGGCCAGTGGGAAAGAAAACAAGAAATCGTTAATAACAGAGAGAGAGAGATTATGAACACATATTGTCGGCTCTGTGGCTAAGTCGATGCGAATTCTTCGCTTCATAATGCCAGGATGCCAGGTTCGATCCCAGCTGCGGGCAATGCGCCTTGCGTTGGTTTCGACAGTGGTATCAAGAAAGCCGACCGTCCAGAAAGCAGTGGCAAACTACTGGATGTAAATTGCCTAGAGAAACCACACAACAGCCAGGGGATGTTAGGGTTGGTTCTGCAACGACCTGTAAATGATACGCAACTAACTTTTATACTTAATATAAGGGTAAGGTCGCTGCAGTAAATCTGTTTGAGGTTAAAAAACATTGCAAAAAAGGAAGAGAAAAGATAAAAAAAATGGTATCCAGCCATCCACCCCTACCTCCATTTAACACATCCATCATCTTTCATTCCTTCTCTCCCTCTCTCTCTAATATATATATATATCCACAGACACAAAATCAGTCGACACTTGTTAGATGTAGGTTGTAGAGATTTTTACACGCATACCTTTCTGTGTACTTTTCATCCATGTCCTACACACCTGGTCACATTTTAACAATTTCCCACTCTCTTCCCTAAGCTTCACCCGCGGCACATGGTAATCCCTCTCTCCAGCCCTTTATTTCCACTGATCTGATTTCATATATTCATTTCTTCACTACTGTATAAATGCAATGCCTGCTAATTTATGTTCTTTATACATTTTGGAGCTATCCTGGTATTATTACAGTATTACATACTTTATACAATTGTTGTTACTTATAATTCTTTTTTTTTTTTTTACACATTTGAATACCAAAATGTAGCATTTTAATTAGTTTATTTGTGTTTGTTTTGTTTGTTGTCATTGTTCTGTTGATGAATCTAATTGAAGCAGTGTCCTCGGCTTGTTTATTGAAAGTGGTAAACTCCAGCAGAAAGTTCTGGTTGTTCACCCACCTCTGGACTTGAGACTTGTTTCAGAACCTGCGTGTTACATGCACATCCATTTTACAGATCTGACTTATTTGTATGCAGACTGTTGGTTCCTCGCCTCTTCGGCAGATGCACTCTGATTCTAATGAAACCCCTAGTTGATCGACTCTTATGACATGCGTGTTATGGAGGAAGTGGGTCATTCTTGTTGTCCTCTCCTCACAGTGGGGCCTAAGAACCACACGGGAAATGAGTGGTTTTGTAAAAATGACATACTTTGTTTTTCTTACCCTTTTCTATCATATCTCCTCACTGTATTTTGCAATCTTGTTTAGACTATGAATGTGCATTGTAGCTTGCGACAGTCTGTACATTATTGAACATGGTTTTACTAGTGTCTAGGAAGCTGACACTGGTCATTGTGCCTTTTCTGTCTTGTTAACTTTGATGTTGCATTCTTTATCATTTGCTATTTCTGCTGTCGATATAATCTTTTTCTGCCTCTCTCACTTAGTATCTTCGTAGTCAAGCATCTGTTTATGCTTTTCTCGCCTAGTATCTTCACTATCCAGTTAAGTCTTTCTCTGCCTCTCTCGCCTTATGTCTTCATAGTTCAGATAAGTATTTTTCTGCCTCTTTCACCTTGCACCGTAGATCTGATATGCCTCAGACCGGTGGAATTGAGTGTTTTAATTTTATAACTGGCATGTTTACAATAGCTGCAGAGTGTGCCACTCTTAGAGGTAGAGCTACATGGCAACATTGACAGTTTATGGGAGTGGAAAAGGGAGAGGGGGTGACAGTTTGTATGGACTAGGGAGCATCGTCTCATCTCAGATATATGGGTATCATCATGCCCTTGGCATAGATATGTGAGTGATAGCTTAAGTGTGCTGTGTCAGTGTGTGTGAATTATTGCTGAAGTGTGCTGTGTCAGTGTGTGTGAATTATTGCTGAAGTGTGCTGTGTCAGTGTGTATGAATGATGGCTGAAGTGTGCTGTAGTGTGTTGGTGTGTCAGTGTGGATTGGAGGGTGATTGAAGAAGAGTGCTGTGTCAGTGTGTGTGGTTGATTGCTGAAGTTGCTGTGTCCAGTGCTGTATGAGTGGGGGCTGTGTCCTGTGTGAGTGATGTGAGTGATTTGCTGAAGTGTGGCTTGTTTTTTCACAGTGTGGTTTGATAGTGAAGTTTGCCAGTGTGTGTGGGTGGGCCCTTGCTGTTTTCAGTGCTGTTTCATTGTGTGGTGTGAAGCTTGCTGAGAGTGCTGTGTGAGTGATTGCTGAAGCGTGCTGTGTGAGTGATTGCTGAAGTGTGCTGTGTCAGTGTGTGGATGATTGCTGAAGTGTGCTGTGTCAGTGTGTGGATGATTGCTGAAGTGTGCTGTGTCAGTGCGTTTGGGTGATTGCTGAAATGTGCTGTTTCAGTGCGTGTAAGTGATTGCTGAAGTGTGCTGTGTGTTGCGTGGGATGATTGGGCTGTGTCAGTGTGTGTGTGCTAAAGGTGTCTGTGCCAGTGCAGATTGGCATGATTGATAGCTGAAAGTGTGGTGTACTGTGTCAGTGTGTTGTGGTGGGTGATAGCTGAAATGATTTCTTAAATGTGGTGCCTGTTTGTGGGGGGGGGTCAAAGTGCCTGTGTCATGTGTGTGAATGATTTGCTAAAGTGTGCTGTTTTTTTTAGTTTTTTTTTTTTTTTTGGTGTTTTGGGGGGGGGGGAAAATTACGGGGGGGTGATAGCTGAAGTGTGCTGTGTCAGTGTGTGGAGTAATAGCTGATGCGCTGAATTAGTGTCCGGCACCTGCAGTGTCATTGAATGATTTCTGAAGTGTGCTGTGTCAGTGTGTGTGAGTGAGTGATTGCTGAAGTGTGCTGTGTCAGTGTGTGTGGGTGATTGCTGAAGTGTGCTGTGTCAGTGTGTGTGGGTGAAAGCTGTGTGTGGGTGTGTCAGTGATAGCTTAAAGTGTGCTATGTCAGGGTTTGGGAGCCATAGTTAAAATTAACTGTGTTGGGGTGTGTGCATTGAAGTGTGTTGTTTTCTAGAAAAGTGCGAGTGATATTCGAAGTGCACTGTGTACTGGAAAAGTGTGAGTGATAGGTAAAGTATGCTGTTTCAGTGTGTGTAAGTAATAATTTGGGAACCAGTTAAGCCTTGTATTGATGTTGATAGACCACATATACCACACAATTAGACAGACTCTGAGTGAATGCGGGAAGCCCACATCAGCAGGCGGTGATATGTCCTCCATGTTAATGTCAAGACGCCTCAAACCTGGTATCAGGCGTGCATGAAACAGCTTGTCAGTTGGCAGCAGCACTGATCCATATCCCCCCCCCCCCCCTTTTTTTTTCCCCTCTCTCAACCTTCCCGTGCTTTTGAGAGAGAGAAAATCGTAATGTTCAACCAGCATCTCCAGTGGGGGAGTTTTAGGTTATAATTGTGACTATGTTATTTGCGCCCATACAAAATGGTTTAGCATTACTCGCCACCAAGTAGCCTGATAACGACTTTTTGCAGTGTTAGCAAAAGTTAGTTGTGTATCCTTTTCATGGCGTTGCAAAACCAACCCCAGCATTGTTTTTGTTTACTGTTGTGGTTTTAATAGGCAAATTTGTCTCCAGTAGTTTGCCGTTGCCACTGGACGGTCGGCTCTGATCAAAGGAGAGGGGCCCAAATACTGTCCCGACCTGCGACTAAGTCAATGGGCGATCCTGTCGCCGATCCTGTCGCCGAACCTTTCCGTGGTTGGCCCAGTTTGGGACTAGCGTTGTTCTGGGTTGAGGTCACCTGTCATATTGGCTGACCTTGGTCAGTTCACAGACGTGCTTGTATTGATGGGTGTCCAAGATGTGGACCTTGGCGCTTGGTCAGTGTACACAGATACGGGTGCTGGACCCTGGCCTGGTCAGTTCACAGACGTGCTTGTATTGATGGGTGTCCAAGATGTGGACTTGGCCTGGTCAGTTCACAGACGTGCTTGTATTGATGGGTGTCCAAGATGTGGACTTGGCCTGGTCAGTTCACAGACGTGCTTGTATTGATGGGTGTCCAAGATGTGGACTTGGCCTGGTCTTCTCTTCAACGGGAAAAATGGTCAGTTCCATGTTAGTCTCCACCAGACCGCGCCCATATACACACTAGCTCACTTCTGATTGGTCTCATTTTCTGATGGAGTCCT